TTTGAACCTCCAGCTTCCCAGTGGACTCTCTGCAGCTACTGGATGAATAAGCATCACGTTCAAAGGAATGTCTCAGCAGCTACCGGCTGGATCTTCATACACATGTCCACCTAAAGACCACCAAAGTCCTCATAGCTTTGGTGATTCCTAAAGTACCTTCAGAATGCTTACTGATCCAGTGCATTGTGTTCAGTGACAATTAGCAAGTGGTTAGCATCATGCTAACATGTTAAATTGAGATAATCACCAGTACGTTACCCTGCTGGTTGGTGGAAGTGCAGCCTCACAGAGCTACATGCCTGCAGATGTTTGGTGACTTCAGTCAGCACACACATAACAAATAACTGAATCCAAGCCTGATAGAAAAACACGACGGACTCCTTCTTAAAGCTAACTGGCCTGGTTTGAATGGAGTAGTGTTCAGTATCTGGTGTTGATTCACTTGTCGGTTTATTTGACAGTAAAATTAGCCTCTCGCATGTCCTCATCCCCGCTATCACAGCTAACAGGCACGTCACCACACACAGTAAAGCCCTTCCACACATGGGACACGTAACGCTTCGGCTTCATCGATCAGTTAAAGTGACAGCAGTCTCATTCAGACAAAGGTCACTTTCGCATTCATGTCCCTCACGGCTTCATTCAGATGAACCCAGCACAGTGATGGACGCAGCAATATCTGTCACACTGGCAGGATCAGACCGAGCATATGGCCGTCTGTAATACATGATAATAAACTATTAGCAAGCCTGTCAAACTGTTAGAAGTAACTAATAACTATAATTTATTCATGATTCCACAAAAACCTGAAAATTCTGTCCAATCAGCTGTCTGATGGTCTGAATCCTGCTTTACCAACAGCTAAACATAAATATCCAGACAGCTGTGACGGAGCTCAGGACTCAACCCGAAGGCGTCTGCTGTGAATGATTTAACTGCAGCTGATAAACTGTGACGCTGTGCGACAGCTCACCTGTTTCAGGTAAAGAAGAGTTCAGTGTGACTCACAATCACATCCTGTTCAATCCCGTCTCTAAGTCAGGGATAATTTACGATTAATTACTGGATAAAGTTTTTATTTTTACTTCAGTTTGTAGTAAATGTGAAGATGTGGAGCAAAGCAGATGAAAAAGGTGTTTTATGATTCTGGTTGAAAACTGCTTTCTGTGACTTGTTTGGACCAAAATTGGTGCTGAAAATCCATCCATCCGTCCACCTTCATCCTCACTAGGGGGGCGGAGCCTATCCCAGCTGACTCAGGGTGAAGGCAGGTTCACCTGGACAGGTAACCAGTCTATCACAGGGCTACACTTAGAGACAGACAACCAAGCACACTCACATTCACACCTACGGACAATTTACAATCACCAATTAACCTCAGCATGTTTCTGGACTGTGGGAGGAAGCCGGAGAACCCGGAGAGAACCCACGCTGCACGGGGAGAACATGGAGACTCCACGCAGGAAGATCCCGGGTGTCCTCACCGGGACGCCAACCGGCGACCTTCTAGCTGTGAGGCCACGGTGCTAGCCACTGATCCACCTGCAGCCCAATGTGGACAATCCCTTCCCCAGATGACATGGCACAGCTCTGCTGCTTGTGCGCATCTATGTGTTCATGTGGTCCAGACCCGTGTCGTGCTGATAGTGACATGTGAACGGTACTTGGTCCGACCCAGTGAGATCACTGTTGGGACTTTAATGGAAAAGTGAGCAGGGTGCTCATTGAGACGTGGAGATGACCCGCTGAGTTGTCATCACATTAATGGAGAAACGTACAGGACTAAGAGGAGCTTAACATTAAATTTAAAATAATTAAGTGTGGGTTTATTTTAATCTTCTGGCTTTAACTCCATAGCGCCTGTTTCATGCACTGTTCGGTGAGACAAAGCCAAATATTTCCTGACTCAACTTTATCTTCAGTTAAGCTGCCAGCCTGATGAGAGTGAGGATGTTTACTGTGTGGAGACTATTCAGTCTTGATTTTTAATCTCCTCTGAGATGAGCTGAGGCTCTGTCCTCTTTCAAGGTCGGCCATTTTATGGGTTTTCTGCTGCATCAGGTATTTGTGGGAAGCCCAGCCTGCTTGGCTGTGCGTGCCTGCCTGCTTGGCATACACAAACTCACTTCCTCTTCTAACTAATGCACACACTCCATTCCCTCTGCACGCCATAACAAAAGAGATGTGTGTTTCCACGCCCACAACATATGCACGCTGGCACTTGGATGCAGAAACACCCAGTTAATGGACGTGTGTGTGTCTGTGTGTGATATCAGAGCAGGACTTTGCAGTAGCTCAGGACACGAGGTGAATTTCAACCCGTAGCTTGTGTCAGCGTCCACAGCTCGCCCTGTTCATGTCACGCCACTCCGATTGTACACAGCAGTCGATATGTGCTGCAGTTGTTCGGTCAATACAGTGTTGGCTTCAACAGACGAGCTCCTGCACACACAGCCACAGAAGTTGATCAGTGGACTTGCCTCTTATACCACGGACCACCAGGTCAACAGAAGGTGACGCGTTGGCTTCTGATTGGTCCAGAGGGAGGCTTAATCACTCCTGATTCATTGTTATTTTTAGAACAAAGATTCGTGAATCACGTTGAACGAGGAACTTTCTTAGAGGTGTTGAACTTGAGCATTTGACAGCGATCCCAGATGCAGTCAGATATCTGTTTGGGTGACTTGTCCTGACTGTATGTGGTGATGTCTCTGTCTTTATAGATGTGTGTGTTATGCATGGCACTTTTTATGGCTAGACTCCTAACCATGCACATGAGGGAGCCCTGGGGATTACACAGACCCAGTAAGTCTGCCTCAAATGTAGAAGCAGCTGCTTCAGTGTGGCCTGTAAGGATCCTCTTCCTCCCACGCTTTCTCCTCCCTCGCCTCCCCTCCCACCTTCCCTCCATCGCTCTCTCCTTGGCTTCATCCTCCTGGGATTACAGAGCATAGCCACAGACTGCCACAGAAATCTGCCTGTATGGACTCCCTTGTTTTATTGGGTCATTCCTGCTGTGTTGCTGTCATCTATTTTCGTCTGCTGACAACGTCACATTAGGATTTCATCCGAAGGTTGTCATGTGGTGGGTGGTATTATAGCAATAACACCAGACAGGGTGTTCTCTGCTGTGATTATGGGCGCCGTGACGATTCAGTGGGTAGGAGATCAGCACTGTTGATGGTCCCAGAGTAACCTTAATCACAGTAAACTTGGGTTTTAAACAATGCACGGGCTGTGTTTGATGGAGTGTGCATGCTTGAGTGACGACAAATAAGAACAGAAAAGAGGGATGCTGGTTGGTTGGTGATTTATAAGGCTGCCTGGGAGAATACGTTTGAGCAGTTAACTGAGTTACCCTAATCAGACAGAAAAAATCATTTGTACTATTTTAAAAATGCTGAAAGTATTTGTTTATCTTCTCCAGTAAGCGTTTATGTCTTTACACTGCTGGCTTTTGGCAGTCAACTAAAATGGACGTTTGATAACTTCATATTGGCTACTGGGAATGGTTTTGGGGAATTTGTCGTTATTATCGAACATTTTACAGACTAGACAGTTGAAAACAATAAATTGGGAGGATATTTAGCTACAGAACTAGTAGTTAGTTACAGCTATAATGTCCTACATGAGTCTACATTTTTCATCATGTAGGTAAATGCTAAGCTAACTGTTAGCTTCCTGGGGGAGATAGCTTAAGAAAGGAAACACTTGCCTTCTATAGCAGCTATAACAGATGTAGACTGAGTAAACAAGCCTGTATAATAGTGTAAATAATCAATACATTGCTGAAGTCAGCTTACTTTTTCTTGTTTCAGCTTCTTGGTCCGGATGATTTTCTCCTTGTCTTATTGTACAGGAAATGAAATGTATTTAGGGACTGTTGCACAAATGAAATTAGACATCTGGAAAATGATTACCAAAACACCCCAAACCCAACAGTAGAGCCGACTCTGTGGTAATAACTCTGTACGATCAACCTGCTTTTTGGTCGTAGCCCCGTTCCTCTGCACAGCTGGTTTATGAGCTGCTGCACAGGACGCTGTATCCGGAGCATTTCTTTACCAGGAAGAGATTTTTGGTAACAGAAATTTGTGTAAACTGAAATGCTTTTCAAGTGTCATTACTGGAACGAGATGCATAAAGTCACTGCAGGTACGAGTTTTTTTAGGCATGCAAATATGTTTCAATTCAAAATTTGCATTAACTGTTAGTTGACCATGATTATATGCTGATCCAGCTGCAGCCACAGACACTCAGACTGCTGTTAAAGCTGTTTAGTTACACGAGCCACTCAGCAGTATGAATGCTGTCCTGGTAAACTTGTGTTCAATATATGAAGACATTTCCTGCCACAGAAGTCTTTGTCATGGTGGCCTGTCGCTGGCTAAACCCCCACAAGGCTCACTTACATAAAAGAAGTGTGAATAAATGTCGTTTTAAATCGGATTGACTGTGAACTGCTGATGTGATCGTTGAGTTTGTGGGCTGAGGACGGAGACCTCAGACACTCAGAGGATGGCAGGGCGGCCGATGTTGGTGTTTCACTGTTGATTCACACCACAAGTGTGTGCCAGAGTCTCCATGTGTTAACTCGTCAGTGAAATCCTGCATTTGCAAAGCTCCTGATTTATTTGATCTATAGACTAAACACACAATTAATGTCCTCCCCTCTCCCCCTCTCCCCCTCTCCCCTCCCTGATCTTCCCACTCGTTTTCCTCTCTACTCGTTTCACCACACGTCGTTTTCAGTCCCGTCTTCTCTCCATTTATTCCCACATTCTTCTCTTCTGTTGCTTTCCTTCCCTCGTCATCCTCCTCTTGCTTCTACATGTGATTTCTTTTATCTCGTTCGTCTCTCTCCCTCCTGATCTACCTCTTCACATCCTCCCCCTCCCTCCCTCCTTCGCTCTCTCTCCCCTCCCTCTCGGCTTCTCTGGCAGGCTGCTCATTGCAGTGAGTCAGTATCATGGAGGCAGGCAGCGGGGCTGCCGCAGCGGTGGGGAGTGCAGCACTGGGACTGCTGGGAGCCACAGCCACGTCCAGCCATGACATCCTGGACAGGTAAGAGAGACCGGCGCACACACTCAGGAACGCACTGAGCTGGACGTTCTCATCAGCGTGAAGTGTGTGTGTGTGCATGTGTGTGTTTTTCTGTGTGAGTGTATGGAGAGGAGGACCACACCTAAGGTAGTGCTTTAGTGAGCATGCTAGTTTGTTTATAGTCAGAGAAGGAGCCATGGAAAGTGTGTCAATATGCGTGTGTCTGTGTGTTCATGTATGTGAGTGTGGAGGAAACATGCGTGTTTGCTCACACACAGGAAGCCTTCCAGTCCTACCTCCAGGGCTCTCTGTGCATATGTGTGTCTACCTCTGTATCGTTGCTCCCACTGTATGCGAGGCAGAAGCCCTGCTTTCGACAGTTGGACAATCTGGTTTGTGCTTGAGAGTGTGCACGTGTGTGCGCATGCATGTTCTGGAATGTGTGCTGATGGTGGAAGGGGGTGCTGCTTGGCTTCCTCTATGCCTCAAGGAGAAATGACACCAGGGTATGCGCATGCAGAGAAGGAGGGGGAGGCATCAGCAGACGTGCCGAAGCGCTATAGCTGAGCTGATAGGGTGAGTTTGCACAGTCACCATCCCATCCTCTATTAGCTCCCCCCCACCCCCGGACACACACACCCACACCATCAACCACCATAGCAACTGGACGACAGCCACCACCAGCCGTCACTCCTGGAAACCCTTCATTCAGATTTCCTTCGCTCATACAGTCTGCTCCAACTCCCAGCTCCAGCAACCACGGCCCCCACCGAGGGGCCGAGTGTGTCGGCTTTCAGCGCGTTACGTCATCGCTCCAGCTGTACATCCACAGCCACATGCCCGTGCACTGTCATCACACACACACACACACACACCCTCCCTCATGCATGCACATTCACAAAAACACATATGGGCTTGCATCCGGTGAACATACGTGCTGTACATAGGTGTTTTAGGACACACGGTGCTCGCAGTAAATGCGTTGCTCCTCAGCATGCTTCCCCGTGCACGGCCAGCTCCCTCATCAGCAGGCAGGTGCTGCTGGGACGTCACTTATCTCCTCCTCTACATTACAGTGGTTGCACTCTGCCAATGAGGTACAACTAATCTCTAACACGTCCTGGGGATCTCCTTTGACACGTCGTACAATCACAGATGGAAATTAAGGCTGTGACTCATTTAGCTGTCATTTCCTTACTATTTCTGTTAGTCACCACACATTCTGACTGGCAGGGACACATTTTTACCAGCCTTCTCTGCAACGCACTAAAATACACCTCTATGACTGTTCCCGTTCTCTGCAACCACGGAGCCCGTGGCCTCGCTCCCCTGCATCACCGCCATGGCAGCGTGGTTCGGGTTTATTCTCGCTGCTGGATTAGCGGCGTGTCGTGTGCATCTGTGTTTTGCGATGTGTGCTGCTCCATATTATCTTTTGTGGAGGGTGGTGGTGGTGGTTGGGATTAAAGTTAAGGCCGTTCAGCTCCTCCACCTGCCCCTCGCTCACCGCCCCTCTAGTCCTGAACTGGGTCTAAATCCTGCACCGGGGTTACCATGGCAGCAGCAGCTTAGCATACATTAGACAGCGGTCCAACGTTACTACCGAGAGAGAGTGAGCGAAAAGAAGAGGAAAGAGGAAAAAGACAGGGTGAGGAGAGAGGTAATGGAGGGTAAAACTGAGAAATGGAAAGAGATTTCTCTCGACTGCTAAATTGCTGGTGGATCATGTTGTGAACAGAACCTGTTTGTGGCTGTGTGTGCTCAGTGTGCCACTCCAGATTACCTCCTTTATCAGATTCAGCGGGGAGGGCATTTGGTCGGGGCTGCTGCATCATAAAAGTTGTCTGGTGAATCCTCGTGGACAGGGATGGATCAGAGGATCAGCAGCCAGGACCGAAGGGGGCGGATTGGGGACACAAGGCCCCCATGAGGTGGCACAGAGAAGTAAAACAAGCCAACGCTGTAAAGCCGCATCCTGTTTTCCTGATTCTGTAACGCAGTCAGACAGGCAGGCAGACAACAGAGCAGCATACTCGGCAGGAGACGGCTGACGCGAACCACAGAGCTCCCGTGAATTCATAGTGAACTGAACAGATCACTGTAGCTGCTAATGGCAGGTAGCAAAGGCAAACATTATGACCTGATTTATTTCTCTTCTCATAGTACTTTTTATTTACGTAGTACGGTTATACTTTTGATTTCTACATTTATTCTTGTCTTGTTATAATTCCTTGTGTGTGTGAGCTCACATGGCAACGAAAAAGCTTCTGATTGTGATTCTGCTGGAGCCTAGCTTGGAAGGACTTTGGTGTTTTTAGGATCTAAAGTTCCAGTAAGATGAGCAAGATGTTTCCTCACCCATTTTACACATGAAAATCACTTTCCCTGACATCACTAGTCCTAGTCCTAGTCCTAGCTGTGTCTGTTCGTGTGTCTTTCTGCATTGCCGAGAAGGCAAATAACCGTCACCTACGCCGAGAAGGCAAGCTAGTTCACAGGAAAGGCCCCGTAATCTGCCCTTTCAGCCAGGATCCAGCAGTTTCTACCATGATGTTACCTCAGAGTGCATGAAAAATAGTGACCGGTTGCAGCTACTGTTTGGGAGTCCAGCTCTATCAGCACGTAGGAAATAGAACAACAGAGGGTTTGTTATGTAGCCTGTATGGTGACTTTTAGGTTAAAGGTGGCAGCGTTGGAGAGGACAAGCTGGTGAGGACGTTGAGAGGGCAGAAAAAAATGGAGCTTGTTGTCCTCTCCAAGTTTAACCAATTGCCATTGAGACCGCTCAGCAGTTTCCCAGCTCCGCTTAGCAGTACCCACCCTGGAGTGGGTACTTTTTTCTATCCTTGAAATGGCCCTGAAAGAGGTTCCACAGGACTGGTTCCTGCGGTCCAAACACACTCAGAGGTTCATGCTGCCCGGTCGTGGAGAATAGCCTGTTGAAACAGAAAGTTTGCTTCACCAGCAGGAGCACAGAGTTTGAAAGATGTAGGCGTTTACAAGGCAGGAAAGGTCTAATAAAAGACAATGTGCAGTTGCTTTATGGTAACTGAAGGATCCACACGGTCAGAGCTGGATGCCACTGCATCCTCCCACTGGTCCGTCAGCTCTGTGGGCCGCTCTAAATCAGTGGAATACACCTTTAAGCACAATCTGCTGGCTGATAGAACAGTTGACGCATCGGTCTGCAGAGAGAGGAACCTGATTTGATTTGGGATAATGACATTTGCTGGTGTTTCATTCGCCTGTGAAAGTGTACAACAGCCACAGCTTTGGATGGAAAACTTTTTAGACATGTTTTGTGTTTATTGTTGTTTGTTTGATCAGTAGGTCACTGACAGGTCGGTGTGTTCTTAAGTGTATAAATGTGAGACTGGGCTTATGGGAATAGTTGTTTGATTTGTCCGACATGTGAAGCCTTAACTTTCAGTCTAAGTGATAGTTTACCAAAGTAAAAGTCGCCGAGGTAAGGGAAGGTACTTCTATTATTTCAATGTAATAACACAAATTTAACATCAGACATGCAATACAGAAGGTATTATAAAGTACACGTCCACACAAAGCTCTATCTGAGTGCATCCTTCCCTCTCCTGCTACATCCTAGACGATGGTGCTCTCTCATGTTGTAGGTTTCTCATAAACAGTGTGAGAACAGCAGCTACGTTGCTATTCAACGAGGGGTCACTAACACAGCTCTCCATTAAAGTCATGCCTGAGTTCTGCTGAGGCAGAAATGATCATGTTGGGTCGTTTCTGTAAATCTGCATCAGCGGCAGACTGATATTTATGAGACATTAAGGCGTGCTTTGGTTGAGCATGAATGGCTGTCTGAGCTGTTGTGCTGCTTTCAAGTACAACTGGAGCGCGGCGACGGGCCGGATCAGGTTGCTCAGGCAGAGTTTCCTCTTGTAGGATGATAACATTTCATTAGTAACTGGCAGTAATGTGTGGATGGAAGTGTTGTCTGCAGAGCCATATGCAGCACAGATAAACCCCCTCAGTGGAATAGGAGCTAAACTGCTGGCTGACTGGAGAGACTTCCAGCCCGTGGACGCCATCCAGAACATGCATAAGGTTGAAATCCCGTGCGTTGCCTACTAATAGCTTCCTCCCTGTTTCTCCTCGCTCTCTGTTTATTGCTGCTCATTGCCTTCCAAGGTTTTTTTGTTTTTCCTTTGCAGTGGAGATGAAAAATGTGCAGGTTGAGTTTTGATTATTTACTCAGGACAGCCTACGACCATCTCACTGCATCTGTCTCCAGAAATATTTACTCAGACTGTTTCAATCAGTCTTCACCTCTTTTTTTTTTCTCCACTGATTGATTTAAGGAAAATATGTAATTGCCATATTGATTTTCAAAACCGTTGGGATAATTGACTGTACTAAACCGTTCTAAAATTAGATTTTATTTTATCTTTTTCTAATGAAAATGCTGTTGCTCATTCAGGTGCTGTTGTTTTAGTCAGTGAGCCAGAGAGAAGCCAATGTTCCCAGTGCCCCGGAGCAAAAACACCAGTTTAACTCACATTTATTAGGAAGCTGTATCTGTGGCAGTCTTCACAATACTGACAGATATTCAGATATAACCATGAAAAGTGCAGAAGTGCTGTTAAATACCGATCATCGACTTCTGTTCTTTGCAGCTGTTGAGCTAATGAACGCCTCACAGAGAGGAGAGCTGAACAGTTCTGATTCCAGGAGACCTCGATCCAGAGCCTTTACAGTGATAACGTTAAAGTAATGGGATGATGAGCCTTACACTGGGAGATAACTCCACATTAACTATGAACATGATGTTGGAAGATCGTATGAATTGCTTTTCAACTTGGCAGGTTACCTGTGTGACGATGTGACTCCAGCTGTTCTCTGAACACAGCCGACTCCTTTATGCTTCCAAACATCAACACTTCTACAGAATGGCATTTGTTTCCCAAAGCTGTCCTTCACCAAAATGTGAGCAGCAATTAAACTAGAGGACAATAAACGGACAGCATTCAAGATTTGTCTTATTTTCTTTCTTA